CTACTGAAACTAATTGAGAGATTTAGCATCATGGCAGGATATAAGATCAAATCCAAAAACCAGTTGGATTCCTCTACACCAGCATAGATTTCCACATACTTTGGAAAAAGTGGGAGTTTTCCCCTTGTGCATAATTAACTGAGAAAGAGAATCCTGGTGCTACATTGAACCTTAGAGACACACTTTAAAGGAGTATTGCCTTCGTTGATTTATTTATCTCTTCACAGTTGTAGACTTTGAGATACACAAATGGCCACTATACTGGGGCTTTCTTCTACATCTGGTTTGTTATTGTAGGAATCTGTGGGACCACTGCGGGAGGACTTCAGTCTGAGCAGCAGTGCCCTCATTGGCCTGCTGGTCATTGCGGTGGCCATTGCTACGGTGATAGTCATCAGCCTGGTGATGCTGAGGAAGAGACAGTATGGAACTATCAGCCATGGCATTGTGGAGGTGAGGAACTAGGATGGCTTTTTGACCTGGCCCATAGCTAGCAGGGATTTCCTCTGAGCTCTATAGACCTGGAGGCAGAAATAGGGGTGAACTTTATGGAATTCAAATGTCAACATCTTGAATACTCTACATGCTCCTGTCATCAGTTAAATTACCCAGTGGATTATTAGGTCATGTTTTAGAAGTCAGCCACAACTGAGTTATATTGATTCTATCACAAAGACCTGTTGCCAGCTTTAACATTACCTTGAGTTTTAACTATAAATGCCAAGAGCATTTAATCTTGCTTAGGGTGAAACCATGTTCTCCTTAGTGTTTCCTTCTTTTCAAAGTATATTAGGTATTTGCAAATGAAGGACTGGTAATATTCTTTTTTTAAAAAAAAAAAAAAACTAAAGACCATACTTAATTCAAATTTCCTTAGTTTTTACATAATATCCTTTTTCTGCTCCCGGATCCCATCCAGGACTCCACGTTATATTTAGTTGTCAGGTTTGCTTATACTTTTTGTTTTTGATGACCTTTACAGTTTTGAGAAGTGCTGGTCAGGAATTTTGTAGAATGTCCCTCAACTGGGATTCGTCTGATGTTTTTCTCATGATTAGAGTAGGGTTATAAGTATTTGGGAAGAAGATCACAGAGGCAAAGTGCCATTTTCAACACATCAGGGGTGCAACATGACTTCTCACTATTGATGATGATCTTGATCACAATATTATTCTTTTTTAATGAGGGAAAAAAAGCAAAAGGAAGCTTAGAAATAGCCAAAGCAGGCTGTTTCTGTCCATCTTTTGCTCATTAGTAATCAGAACTTCTTACTACTTAATTTTTCAGGGCATTGCAAGAATGATCAGAATCTCTTGATTCTACAAATACAATAAGAAACATAATATGCTTTGGAAAATTAGTTTAAGCCTTTGACTCCTAACCAGAATTTTGGCAGTTCAAACCCACCAGCTGCTCCACAGAAGGAAGATGAGGCAATTTACTTCATAAAGATTCACCACCTTGGAAACCCAATGTGGGTCCCTATGAGTTGGAATCAACTCGGCGACAGTGGGTGTGGTTTTTTTGATTCACATGTCTTGGTTACTTGGTTTTGATCGCCTGCTGCAGATAGAGTTCGGTTTGCAGTTTCAGAGCTGAAAAAGATGATAAAGGAAATTATCTAGTCCACTTTCTTTTTTTATAGATGAGTGGTTAAGCGATTTGCCTATGTTATCCCAGACAGTAAATAGCAGAATGGAAACTCACTTGTCACTGTGGTGCTAGGAAGTTCATTTGACTGTTTTCTCCTTCTTGGACTAAACTTTTAAGACTGTAGCTTGCCTCCTTTTACTCTCTTTTTTTCTTTCCCCTCCTCTGGCATCCTTATCACCATCCACTCAATGAAAAGGGGAACACTAGGTTGCTTTTAGGAGCTTTGGTGGTATAGTGCCTAAAGCTAACCAGAAGGCTGGCAGTTCAAACCCACCAGGCACTCCTCAGAAGGAGGATTGGGCAATCTATTTCCATAGCGATACCGCCGTGGAAACCCAAGGAGGGGTTGCTATGAGTCGGATCCAACTTCATGGTAGTGAGTTTGGTTTTTTGTTTGTTTGTTTAGGTTTTGGTCCCAGAACATTGTGTAGTGAATAACTTAGGGCTCCTAATACCCTATGCAGTTTTTATTCAGTGTGCCACAGTGACCCTCAGTCTTTACTCTTCCAGGTTGACCCAATGCTTACTCCAGAAGAACGTCACTTGAACAAGATGCAGAACCATGGTTATGAAAACCCAACCTACAAATACTTAGAGCAGATGCAGATTTAAGTGAGCAGAAGCATTGTGCACTCCTGGTTGGAACAGGGTGGTGCAGATGGGCCAAAAGAGGTCCAGCATTTTGGATCGACTACTGACCAACAGTTGCTTGCAGAGAATTTCATCTTATGTTCAGAACTCCTGGGTCATTAAGACTATAAAGTACTACTGTAGAATTGCAATTTCCATTCTTTCAAATGGGTGAGAAATGTTAATATAACAATATATGATATATAAACCTTAAATGAAAAAATGATCTATTGCAGATATTTGACTGATGTAGTGTTCTTTTTTTAAATTAATCAGAAGTCCCGGTTCTATTGTACTGTCTCACACATGCTTTCTATGTAAATGGAAAATGTTATTCTAATTGCATTGTATAAATCAACTCTTTAAGGCTCACTTACTATCCTGATTTTTATTTTTTAAAAATTTAAAAGGCAGTATTCCCTTTTTAAATGGGTTTCAGAAACTTGCTAAGAAACTAAACAGGGAACTGGAATTGAACATGACCCTCAAAATTATTTGGAAAGACTAGTTTCTTGAAATCTGGTGCTTCCACTGCTGGGTGATGTGGTGTCTCTACACGCATCCTGTCCCCAAGTTGAAAGGCATTTAGTTCCAGCATCTTCTAGTGAGCCTATTGTATACAGGTTAGGGTCTCCACTACTTCTTTCCTTCTAAATCGAATTCTTCCACAGAAACTAGCCTGTAGTTATATATGATGTTCTTCCACTATTCATTGCTTAGTCCCCCTATAAGTAATGTTCAAATGTGGTATCTTTTCCTCTTTGGACATTTCCCTCCAAAGGCACTGACTGTCCACCCTTACCCACCCCCAATTTTTATTTTTACCTCTCTTGCCTTTCTTTCTTTTCACCAGCCTCTCTGACTAGAACTCAGAGAAGACTACATTAAATAGCTGCTAATGGCCATAATAGAACACGGGGAGGTTTGATTTCATTTGAAGAGGATATTCCAAGTTGTACATGAAACTGGATATGTCAACACTATGGAAAGCATTAAGGTTTTTGTTTCCTTCACATGAGTCTTTGTAATGCTTGTGTAGTTGCTGTTAATGCTCACAGCTTTTTCTTTTACTTTCTTGTTTTTGTTTTGTTTTGTTTTGTTTTGTTTTTAATGCTGAAGGTTCTGGTAACCTGTGGTCTTTTTCTGTTTGTTTGTTTTTCTGTTTTCCTGTGACATTTTTTTTTACACCCCCCCCTTCCTCCTCTTTGACCCTATCCATGTCTTTTCCCACTATGCACAGACTAAACTTCACTTTCAAACTCCTTAATACGATCTGTGGAGAATATACAGCGTTTAAACACATCAATAAATACTTTAACTTCCACAAGGCTCCTTATTTTATTCACAATTGCGTCTAGGGTGATGGTGTACATCCTCCTGCCTTCGGGGATGAGATCTTCCTTCCGTGAAGAATTAACAAGCCTCAAGCCAAACGCTAAGATTAGTCTACTGAAGCAAGTTGACTCTGGGCTTGAATTCCATTTTTCATTTTAAAAATAAGAGGGAAAGTATGCCTGCAGCATTTGTCTGGCAACGTTTTCTTTATATTTTATTTGTTGTTGAGAATATACACAGCAAAAACATAACACCAATTCAAGTTTCTACATTTCAGTAACATTTGTTAATTCTTCAGGTTGTACAACCATTCTCACTCTCCTTTTCTAAATTGTCCCTTATTAACATAAACTTACTGGCCCTTAAGCTTCCTATCTCATCTCTTGAGTTGCTGTCTTCAATTTGATCCCATATAGACATATCTTAAAATAGCATAATGCTTAAGGCAGACATTCTTATACTAATGAAGCTAAACTTGTTTGGTTTTAAGAAAACTTGTGGAGATATTTTTGATTTAAAGTGTAAAGACTTTTTCAGGGCAGTAGTTTCAGGGGTTCATTCAGCCTCCATGGCCCCAGAAAGTCTGGATTTCATGAGAATTTAAAATTCTGTCATTTTCCCCTTATGATCAGGATTATTCTATAGAATCTTTGACCAGAATGTTCAGGATTGGTAGCCAGGCACCATCCAGTTATAGTGGCAACAGAGACATTTGTTTATGGAGGCAATGAGCCACACTTACCATTTCCTCCTATTGCTTACTCTCTTCTGTTGTTTCAGATGAATAGAAACCAACTTTTGTACCTTGGATAGCTGCTTTCGGGCTTTTTAAGACCACGGACACTATGCTACTAACCAGAAGATGGAACAGAAGCACTAAACATGTTACTAGGGCAGTTAACTCAGATGTCCCATGAAACCATGACCCTAAACCTCCAAACTATGGAACCAAATTCCATGAGGTGTTTGGTTGTAGCCTCAGCAGCTACAATGTTTTTTTTTTTTTCTTTCTGTGTAAATATATCTATCACAAAACTTTTTCCAATTTAGCTTTTTACAGGTATACAACCTACAGCAATTACATTGATTGACTGTGCAACCCTACCCTAAACCAATGTGATTTTTCATCACTGTAAACCAAAGCTCAGTACTCCATAAGCAGTAGTCTCCCTTTTTATCCCTTCTTCCCACCCCTGGCAACTACTAATAAACTTTGGTCTCTATACATTTGCCAATTCTTGTGCTTTTATATGTTGCTGTTATGTCCCATCAAGTCATCTCCAACTCATAGGGACCTTATGTACAACAGAATAAAACACTGCCCGGTCCTGCGGCAGCCCCGCTATCCCTACTATACCTAGCCCATCACTGCAGCCACCATGTCTGTCCTCCTGAGAATGGTGCCTTGTAACAACATGGCCAAAGTAGGTGAGACAAAGCCTGGCCATTCTTGCTTCCAAGAAGCATTCCAGCTGCACTTCTTCCAGGACAGATGTGTTAGTCCTTTTAGCAGTCCATGGTACTTTCATCATTCTTTGCCAATACCACAACTCAAAAGCATCAACTCTTCTTCAATCTTCCTTATTCATTGTCCAGCTCTCACGTGCATATGAGGCCATTGAAAATACCATGGATTGGGTTAGGTGCATCCTAGTCTTCAAAGAGATATCTTTGCTCTTCAGCACTTGAAAAGAGGTCTTTTGCAGCAGATTAGCCCAATGTGATACATCTTTTGACATCTTGACTGCTGTTTCCATTGGCGTTGATCGAAGAACCAAGTAATATGATTGGCAACTTCAGTCTTTTCTCCGTCTATCATGACACTGCTTATTGGTCCAGTTGTGAGGATTTTTGTTTTCTTTGTGTTGAGGTATAATCCATACTGTAGACTCTATAGTCTTTAATTTTCATCAGTAAGTCATCCTCACTTTCAGCAAGCAAAGTTGTGTCATCGCTTATTGCAGGTTATTAGTAAGCCTTCCTCCAATCCTGATGCCATGTTCTTTACCATATAGTCCAGCTTCTCGGATTATTTGCTCAGCCTACAAGTTGAAAAAGTATGATGAAAGGATACAACCCTGACACACTCCCTTCTTGATTTTAAACCATGTAGTATCCCCTTGTTGTGTTCAAATGACAGCCTCCTGGTCTATGTACAGGTTCCTCAGGAGTAAAATTAAGTGTTCTGGAATTCCCATTCTTCTCAATGTTATGCATAATTTGTTATCCACACAATCAAATGCCTTTGCATAGTCAATAAAACATAAGTAAACATCTTTCTGGTATTTGCTTTTAGCCAAGATCCATCTGACATAAGCTTGTTCCACCTCCCCTTCTGAAGCATTTCTGGAAGTTCTCTGTCAATATACTGCTGCAACTGTTTTTGAATTATCTTCAGCAAGATTGTACTTGCATGTGATATCAATGATAATTGTTTGATAATTTCCACATTCTGTGGGATCACCTTTCTTTGGAATGGGTATAAATATGGATCTCTTCCCATCAGTTGGCCAGGTATCTGTCTTCCAAATCTCTTGGCATAGCCTACTGAGTGCCTCCAGCAGAGCATCTGTTTATTAAAACATGTCAGTGGGTATTCTGTCAACTCCTAGAGCCTGTGGCGTGCCTAAGGCATGTAACTGCTAACCAGAAGGCTGGTGGTTCAAACCCACCAGCCACTCTTCAGAAGAAAGGTTGGTATCTTCTGTAGTGATACTGCCTCAGAAACCCAAGGAGGGGTCCCTATGATTTGGATTCAACTCCATGGTAGTGAGTTGGGTTCGTTTTTCACCAGTTCCTTCAGTGCAGCTTTGACTTCTTCCTTCAATACCATTGGTTCTTGATCATATGCCACCTCCTGAAATGGATGATCATCTACTGATTCTTTTTGGAATAGTGACTCTGTGTATTCCATCCATCTTCTTTTGATGTTTCCTGCATCATTCAACACGTTGTTGTTGTTATGTGCCGTCGAGTCGGCCCCGACTCATAGTGACCCCTCCTTGGGTTTCCGAGGCAGTATCACTACGGAAGTAGGATTGCCCAACCTTCCTTCCGAGGAGTGGCAGGTGGGTTTGAACCGCCAGCCGTCTGGTTAGCAGGCAAGTGTCTTAGCCACTATGCTACCAGAGCTCCCTGGTAATTCAACACATTACCCAAGGAATATTTCAATATTGCAATTCAAGTCTTAAATTTTTTCCTCGGTTCTTTCAGTTTGAGAAATGCCTAGTGTGTTCTTCCCTTTTGGTTTTCTAACTCCAATTCTTGGCAGAGTTCATTATAGTAATTGACTTTGTCTTCTTGAGCTGCTCTTTGAAATCTTTTCAGCTCTTTTATCCTGGTGGTTCTCCCATTTGCTTTAGCTACTCTCCATTCAAGGGCAAGTTTCACTGTCTCCTCTGACATCCATTTTGATCTTTTCTTCCTTTCTTGTCTTTTTAATGGCCTTTTGCTTTATTCATGGATGATGTTTTTTATGTCATCCCACAATTCTTGTTTTTGTTCATTGGTGTTCAGTGCATCAATTCTGTTCTGTAGATGTGCTCTAAATTCAGGAGGGATAATATCAAGGTCATATTTTGGCTCTTGTGGGCTTGTTTTAATTGTCTTCAGTTTCAACTTGAACTTGCATCTGAGCAGTTGATGGT